CGTTGAGGAAAAGCAAGATTTGGCAAGATAGCAAGATTTACTTGATCAGTCTCGACATTGGTAGTCGTCACAAGCATACACCTCGAGAGTAGAGCGTCGCGTTTAGTAATCAACTCAATTCAGTGGGGGGGGACTTTGGGAAGTGGCGGTGTTATGGTAGGCATGGAAAATATCAATATTTCGATGGATGTTGATAGTGGTGAAGGCCGTAGAAGTGTTCGTTTGTAGTGTTAGTGTTGTTGGAGTAGTAGATCCCTAATACTACATGTTCGCTATACTACTTAGTAGGAAATTGCTATACTGTAGACCGGCCGAACACCTGTTGATTTTGGAGTAAAGATCAATCTGGAGATGAAGCTTGTAGATTGCATAGACTAATTAACAATATCTGAATTCTACCACTGTTTCTGGATTGCTATATATGCTACAGCTTGCTGTCTCCGGGAGGTAAAAAATCCGTGTGTAACCTCGCCGAAGACTTACAGGGTGATAAACGTATGCAAACGCTCCGCGGGAAACGCTTGTAACAGAAGGTTATTTTCACTATAGACTTGTACTAGTCTTAGAATAAGAACGCATTTGCTCATCAGAGAATTATTCGTTTTGATAATGAAGACGTGTGTTTTTGAAAAATTATGTATTCAGTGTAATTGACATGTCAGAAGAGCCTACAGATGAGGGAAAGCGGCATGACTCTGTTGTAACGGAGGAGCTGTTGCGGTCTCAGCAGGCCTTGCAGGAACGGGGCGAATGCCAGGGCGTTTGGGATGACCATAAAAATATAGTGACTATCACGAATAGGAGCGGGAAGGCATTGCAAAGTATCGCTGGTGATAAAACCGAGCTTAATATCGAGGAAGCGTTGTATTTGGTCGAGCGAGGATCGCTAGTGGTAGAAGGTGTTGATGTTAAAGAGTTATGGAGGCATTTGGTAGAGATCGGCCAGGATGCTGTGGATGCATATATAGTGTATGCTAATTTGAAAAGAGCGGGATATGACGTTAGGAGGGGAGAGGGACTAGAGGAGAGGTAGTAGAGGGGTTGCGAGGATATTCAATTGAGAACGTTTTTCACGGGGGAATTTATTCCTGGGCTGGGAATTTACAGAACGATTAGGATTGTGAACGGTTTATGCTGCAGTGGCGTCCACCAGCATATCGTATTTTCCGTAATTCGGATCGGTAAATGATCTACGTGAGAACGTAAATCTAGTCCTTCCCTCGTGGAAATAAGACTTGTTATTTTCGACATGCATAGACTTGCGATCTCAAAAAAGTCATTTACTGTTGACATCATTTTCCGTGATAATTATGATATCAATTTCCGAGCTAAGAAACGTTATCGTAGAACTGCAGACTCAGATTTAAACGAAATATTCACATTGACATATATGGGCGAACTACTTCGAATGATACATTGTGCATAGGCCGTAAAAAGACCGCATTGATTCCGATCAGGCGTCCCCCGCTTCTGTTTACATGTAGAACGCCGGAGTCGGCAGCTTCTCGTAGCGACTTTGACGTTGTGGTTGTATCGAGCGTTTATACACCATTCAATGGGATAAAGACCCATAGTGGTAAAGACACGATTGTTGCGGTTGTTGAGATGGGTGCGGTAATGTACTTGTCCGCGAAATTCAGCTGCTCTGGGCCGCCTCGACCGACCGTTGAAGATGCTGTTAAAAAACGGCGGTGTTCCTGATGATGATTTTCTTTGTGTTTGAGATACGGAGGGAGGATGGAAATTCACAGTAATTTTTTAGGAGACAAAAAAATCTACCATTTTCGAAAAATAGTAAAATTTAATACTATAGGCTCTACTATT